GCCCAGCACAGAGCAAGGGTTCCATATGCGAGTCTCCCTCCTAACTCTCGGCGACTGTACTAACTCGCGCTAGCTGGGTGGCCTGGGAGAGATACATTTCGGACCACGCCCATCTCCACGCACGGTCACAAATTCTAAGGCCTTCATGGCACAGCAGAGAGAACGAGTTGCCTCTTTCCTCTAGAAGACCTCCTCCCATTCCTGCAAGACTCTGCCCGTCTCCTTGAGTGGCTCCTGAGCGTTCGGCCTCCGTCCTGTTCCCATCACAGCACGGGTGGAACTCCGGGGCTGTCCCCTTGGCCCCGAGCCCTCGGAGAGCAGTCACCTCCACGTGCCCAGAAGCCAGCACGGCGCCTGGGACTTGCCAGCCATGCGGGACTGGCCGCGAAGGAAGAGGCTGTCAGATAAGGGGACTGTGCAGACCTCCCTGCAGAGGCCTCTGGAGACCTCTGGGATGTGACTGTGACCTCCCCTCCTCGGACACCTCCCTTCCCACGTCCGGAGCACCCGCTCCAGACGCTGCCCCCTGCCCTGGGTCACACATCCAAGGGCAGCATTGCCCTGTCCGCGCCCATCACCTCTGGTGACAACATGGTCTGAGGCCGGTCTGAGGCCACGGCCCATTGGGTCTGCTGGTCCTTCCAATACGGCAGCCTTCTGCCTGCCCAGGGAAGAACCGCCTCCCCTCTCCTGGCTGAGGTCAGAGAAGCCTGGCCTCCAAGGGAGCAACTCGGGGCTGGGGCTGTTGGCCAAGGTCGAGGTCAGACCGTCAACAGCAGCTCGTGAGCAACCGTGATGTCATCTCAGAACCCAAACAAGGCCTTCCCGGCAGGCAGAACGAGGGACCTGTGACCACAGGGGCTGCCAGTCAGCCAGCCAGATCTCCAGGTGTTTGTGACTTCCGTCACGTTCTAGGGTCTGCGTCCGGCAGTGGTGTGCTTGCCCCGTGTCTGCTACAATCCAAAGCATTCCTGTCCTTCCAGCCTCAAAGCTCGGTTGGGGGCGGAGAACAAGCAGAAACACGAGATGCCGCGGCCAGGCTAGGAGCCCGTGAGGGGATGAAGTCCACTGACAGGTGAGAACACCAAGACCCAGACAGGTGACCTGCCAAGGTCCAGGACCAGGTCTGACCGCTCCAGGGCTGCTGCGGCCGCTGGCTGGCCGGGCAGCGCTGCCCCACCCCCTCCCGCCGGGAGATGGCTTAAACCCCACCTACTGGGGGCAACACTGAGCCTTCCAGTTAATTGTGTCAGTAGCTAGTTCCGTGGGTGTCCTGCAGAAGAAAAAGGAAAAGGTTTCCCAGCCCAAACGATATCAGGAAAACCTGAGCCAAAGTCAGTCTGAACAGAGGTCTTGACTTCAGTACTTTTCAGAGCCGTTACACATTGTGAATGTCAGGAGTCCTTGGCAGGAACACTGCTGTAGAGCCCTTGACCTTTATTGGCACAGGGCTGGTTACAGAACAAGGCTTAGAAGCTCTAGTCTCAGAAGTCACAGGGACCCGATTCACTGGCGGGGGTGGGGGGGTGGGGGAGCTGGAGATAATGAAGCAGATTATGTAAACAAATAAAGCTGAATTTCCGGGGCGCCTGGGTGCCTCAGTCGGTTAAGCGTCCGACTTCGGCTCAGGTCATGATCTCGAGGTCCGTGAGCTCGAGCCCCGCGTCGGGCTCTGTGCTGACAGCTCGGAGCCTGGAGCCTGCTTCGGATTCTGGGTCTCCCTCTCTCTCTCCGCCCCTCCCCTGCTCATGCTCTGTCTCTCTCTGTCTCAAAAATAAATAAAAACATTAAAAAAAAATTTTTTAAGCTGAATTTCCTCCTCCCGAGATGAGAGGTGGCCAGCCCTCAGAGTAGCTGCCATCTGCACTGGGGACGGGGATAGTGGAGTGATGGCCTCTAGTTCTAAGTAACGTGAATTTTGAGTAGGATATAAGCATCCTGATTGCTATTTACTTATTTATTTTATTTTTCCCTGACTGCTATTGTAATGTGAGCTCGAATCCTCGTGCCTTAAAGACCAGGTTTTGATGCAGAACAGGAGCTCTCTACCGTAAGTCAGCTCTTCAGTCTAGTCCCCTGCTGGAAAATAAGTCCAGCTGATCAATGAAACAAAATAATTTTTTATCAGCGCCAGCAAGAGATTTCCATGTAAACAAACAGATAGCATGTGGAAAGGTATTTGGAGAAGTGCCAATCGGTAAAGATTTGTGCTCATCCCGAATGGGTTGGCTGGCCTTAATTCCACCAGTTTGAGCCAGTTGGAGAAAACCCAAAGCAAAGGGCTCCTTCTTTCTAACGCTGAAGCCAGGAGTGGCCCGTTCGGGCGCAGGGGCTCCCCCAGGAGGCTCAGGAGAAGAAGGGTCCTTGGCCGAGCGAACCCCCTCAGGGCCACGCAAAGCTAAGCCTGACATTTAAGCCGCCAGGGTCCACCAAGCAACCGGCTTCCAAGGGCGGGCAGGAGAGGGGACGCTGAGGACAGACATCCAAGCGAGTAGAAGACCACGAGCCAAAAGATGCAGAAGTCCGCCTTGAACTCGAGAGCCAGGGCACTCTCCACTCCTGGAGGCATGCAGTGCCCGGGCGGGAAGGCAGGGCAGGCACGAGAAGGAGGGGAGAGGAACGAAACCGGCGATGGGTCGTACGGATACGGTGACCAAGGTGCCAGGGTGTTCCTCGAGAAATCCCCCGTGACCCCATCACCGCACCCCTACGACCAGGGGAGAATCCACCTTCCCAGGGGCATGCGGGCATCACACCAGGCACACTCACGGCAAACAACGCATAACCTACTCTTTAAACATTTCAGTTTTTCCTTCAAACCTGCAACGTAATAAGGGGAGGGCGGTTATTCCACTGCGTTAACACACGAAGCCAAGTTCAGGTTGGGGAGTACGAGCATTCCCATTTGTCCAGTTAAGCAAGCAAATAACACGGCCTTTTATGGGGTTCCCAAGAGGGGACAGTGAACACGAACTGATGTGCAACGAGTGACAGAAGTGTTAAATACAGAGTGACACGTGCAGCACCCGCACACGCATACGGCCACACGTTTAATGACCTCCACGGAGTTTCAGCACCGAGTTCTAAAGTTCCCAAAGTCTCAGAGTTTCTGTCGCGCACATTGTAAGTGCACTCAGTCTGTACACGATTAATGGGCCTGAATGTCTCCGGAATCCGAAGGTCTCTACTGGGCCACAGGGGAGACGGACGGGCGTTCAAAATGCGAACACAGGACACAGAGCAGTTTTGGTCTCTCTTGAGTAGTTACTGGGCACAATGGAGACTGAAAGTTGGAGGCTTTCCTCAGCCCCTCAAGGCATTTTCCAGTGTGGCGACAGGGATAAATGGGTGGGGCAGGGGTGGGGGAAACGGATGGAATTTTCCATGCAGGATAAGAGCACAAACCGATAGACGTGGCGGGTAGGCCAAACAACCGTTAGCCCCCACTGACCCCATTCTCCCTTCAGATTTCTACAGCGTAAGAAACGCCAGGTTCTGGGGCTTTAGAAAGGCCGCCACTGGACCACAGACGTGCCCAGGGGCATCTCTTCAAACCAGTGGTGCTGCTGGGCTCAAAACAGCGAGCACGGCCCTGTCCGACGTGTCAACTCAGACGCTCCGCGGGGGCTCGTAACATTTCAGCACGGCCAGGGCCACCGATGGGCTAGGACCGGCTGGGAGAGCCCTGGCTAAGGACATGCCAGCGACCTACCTCCGTTGGCCAGGAGGTTCTCCGGAACCTTCCCCTTGGAGTCTTCCATAACTTCTACCACGCTCTGGGCCATCCTCTTTATGAGGCTTCAGGAAAAGAACAAGAGACCATTAGAGCAGGAACGTGCCCTCCGAATACTCACGCTGGATGCCGCCCTCTGGGGAACCGTGGGGCGACATGTAGGCAGACACTTAAAATGTGAACAGTCTCTGAACCCGTATTTCCACTTCTGAGAAAGTAGCTTAAGGAAATAGGGCAAACAGAAACAAAACAAAACACCTTTCTGAATAAAAAGATGTTCTTCCCCAGCACTGCTGCTGACAGTGGAGAACCGGAAACCACGAGAAGATTCAACAATGGGGGATTGTTGGAGTAAAGGATGGTATATCCAACGGAGGGATTATTAGGCATCCGTTGGAAATAAGGTTTACAAAGAACTCCTAACATGTAGAACAAGGCATGTATTATAATCTTCCGTGGAAAAAAGCCCCAAGATCCGAATTGATGCAGACAGCGTGGCTGTGACCAGGTGAAATTGTTCTTCCGACTTCACGTATTTCCGATCATAATCCGTAATGGTAATTCGGATCCTCATAATGATAACTGAATTAATACCGAGTATAGTTCAGGATTGCTTTGATAATGAGAAAATCAAAACTGTTTAAGTCCCCAGCAAGGATCCCAAAGGATTCAGAAAGTATGAGGAAGGACGGTGGGCTGGCAGAGCATAAGGTTGTCAAAATCACTGTTGTATACCTGAAACTAACGTAACCTTTGAGGATCCAGGAAAGAATAAAACAAACAAAAAATGTCTCCTCCCTCCAACCAAAAACAAAGTATGAGAAAAAGAAAGGGAAATACAGGATTTCAAGGCAGAAGGACTCAAAATCCCACGGCTCTGCCAATTACCAAATGTGTCATTCGTTTCTTTGTTTCGGTTTTAATTTTTTTAATATTTTATTTTTGAGAGAGTGCGAGCGCGCAAGCGGGGGAGGGGCAGAGAGCAGGGGACAGAGGATCCCAAGTGGGCTCTGCATGGACAGCAGAGAGCCCAATGCGGGGCTCGAACTCACGAACCGTGAGATCACGACCTGAGCTGAAGCCAGACGCTTAACCGACTAAGCCACCCAGGGGCCCCTGTTTTGTTTTTAATTTTTAAGTAGGCTTCATGTCCAACGTGGGGCTCAAACTCACAGACCTGAGATCAAGAGTCGCATCCTCTATGGACTGAGCCAGCCAGGTGCCCCTTGTAGGTGTTTTTTGTTTTTTTTTTCCTTTTTCTTTTTAGTAATCTCTACACCCAAGGTGGGGCTCAAACCCATGACCCTGAGATCAAGAGTCACACGCTCTTCTGGCTGAGCCAGCCAGGCACCCCAAACGTGTGATTTCGACCTCATTTTTTCCATCTCTTTGTGCCTCAGTCCTTTTATCCGGAGGATGCAGAGTACAGCCCATTTTGCAGGATTATCACACATATGAATACGACAACATATTAATACAACATATTAATCAGACACCGAGTATCTAGGAGCAAGTGTCTGCTCCTAGAGGCTGAGCAGTGAGAAATCGGATCAGAAAACAAGCCAAACTAGGACCCAAGTCTAAAAGCCCTGAAGACCCAAATATCTGCCTTAGGCGCCCCCCCCCCCCCCCCCCGCCACACCTTCCCTTGGCTCCCATGAGGGAGGCCGCGTCTGCAGGCAGCGTGGATCAGGTCACTGAACTCCAGATGGGGAACATGGCCCTTCTGCTGTTGCAGACACCGGCCGTGTTGGCCGCTCAGAGCATGAGGCCAGGGGGCTGGGGACCAACACAGGAGACTCAGTCAGAAGGGCACTGAGAGGCCCTGGACAAAATGAAGAGAGGGAGGGCAGAAAGAAGAGAGGGAGGGAGGGAGGGAGGAACCTGGTCTCCTAGCAGAGTGACACGTATTCGTGGTCAAAATTGGAAAAAATATCAGAAAAAAGAACCACCGTTTTCCTCCACCCAAGAGGAAACACGCACTTTCATTCTGGTGGGTTTCCAAAGCCTTAACTCTTCCACAGTGTATGTGGCTTGAGGTTTTCTGTCCATAACACCAGGCACCACATTCTATCATCATTATTTCATTCGATCCCCGCAAACACTCTAGAGACGGGCATTAATTATCCCATTTTACAGATGAGGCCCAGAGAAGTAAATCGGCCCCACCCGCCCAGTCCGGCTGAGGACTCCCAGGCTCTCAGCCACCCGGCCACGAGGCCGTCTCTACAGTCCCCGAGACCCATCCTGGGCTCAAATCTTTACGAACGTGTTGGGAATTTCCTAGAATCGTGGCTCGCCTCTTACTAATCATAACTAATGAGAATTCTTTTGCCAATGCGTCGTTACCCAACGAATCTGTTTCCTCGGCCGTAAAGTGGAGATGCTGCTGTGCCTCTCACGGGGCTATTTGTGGAGTCTGATGCAACGCACGTGATGTTCCAGGCGCGGGGAGTTTGTGGCAAACGTCTCCAGTTGTGTTCGAAGCAGCCTGGTGGACCGCCTCCGGGCTCTCTGCCCCCCCGGCTCGTGGGGACATCAGGGTGGGCGGGGGACAGGGTCAGAAACCTCTCCCCTCCCTTCCCCTGCAGCCTAGGGCTGTGACAATGCCTCCCCATCTGCCTGGCTTCGTACACGATCCCTTGTGGGTCACCTACAGCCCCCACACAAGTGTCTGTCCCTTTACCAATGGACTCTCCTCAAATTCTCCTAATTTGAGTGTCTTTCTGTTATCTGTAGAGACTGGCTCGACACGTTCATTCATTTGTTTGTGCATTCATGTGGCAAATCCCATACATTAAGCAACTGTGTGCCCAGCACTTTCATAACGCCATGGACCAAACAGAGTCCCTGCTCCCTGGAAGCTTCTATCCTAATGCCGTCAACAGCTCCTCTGTGATGCTTTGAAGTAATTATCAGTTTACACGAAGGCAGCAGTAACTCTCACCCCGACCACAATGCCGCTGCTCAGGAAATGTTTGTTGGGTGAATAAATGAACTCTTTCTAAAAAGAGGAACCGACCAGCAAAAAAACCCCCCAAAAAACCCAAAAAACAGCAAAGGGCGTGAACACGCTATTCACAGAAGACGAAAACAGGCCATTTGTAGAGTCCACGAATCTATGAAAAGAGGTCCAGCCCTCCTCAGTGCCTAAGTAACACGCACCCTTCCTTCCAGGTCGACCTAAAAAGAGAACTCACTCACCATTTCGATGATGGCTTTTTGCCTGCTCCCGATTCTAGCCTGTGTGAAGTTTTTAACAATAACCAGGATGGCCACACGCCTGCCCTCGAGCGGGTACACGACCACGGAACATCTCAGAATAACGTGGTCCGATAAAGCCTAGCTGCTGGAAAGATCACTTACGGCACATAACAAAAAGGGCCCTGGCTTAGCTGTGACGATTAACTACAGTCACCAGGAAACTGTGGCATTACGGAATCAGAGTGCTTGTCTTCTTGGAAGGAGCCTGAGAGTCTGTGTGATGTCTCACTTTTGCGACGCTCCAGTCCACTGCGAACACGTTTTCAGGACCAGAGCTTCCCGTTCCTGATGTCTCTTGCGTGGCATTTCGCTGCGTGACTGTGTCACAACTACTTCTCCTGGACACGGGGGTCGGTTCCCTGTGATTGCATGCCGCAACGACACACGTCTCGCACGCTTGTGTAGGTAGAGTAAGTTGTTAAAGAAAAACTCCTGTCATAAAGGGTACGGACGTTTACAATTTTAACAAACAGGCCAAGGCACTCTCCAGACATACAGGGGCAGTCTACGCTCCCACCAGCAATGGACAAGAGTGCCCGCTTCCCTGAACCTTCGCCAACGTTAGGTATCCTGAGTGTTTAATTTCTGCCAATCTGATAGTTGAAAATTTTTATCTCATTGTTGCTGTGATGTGCGTCTCTTTGATCATGAGTGAGGCTGGCCATCTTTTCAGAGATTCACGGACTCTACAAACGGCCTGGTTTCTTCTGTGGCCGGCCCGCCCAAGCCCTTTGCCAGTTTTTCTGCTGCCTTGTTCCCCTTTTTAAAAAAAAACGAGTCGTAAGAGCTCTTAAGGATCTCAGGAACTCAGCTGCTGAGACAGTGCTTTGAGTCAAGTAACATCCTCACTTCGAAGGTGAAGACGTGAAGACTTACGTGGCTGAAAGCGGCCCTACACAGGGTGACAGGTGTCCAAGCAGAGACGATCCCAAATCTACATGACTCCAGACTCCATGCTCCTCATTGCTAGCTTATATCACACTCTGGCGCTCTCCTCTAGAGGACCTGACAAAAATGTGCACTAATCCAAAAGGGAAGATGTACAGGTCGTATTTTTAATTAAAGAAGCAAACTGCAAACACCGTGTCGTCCTGATTGGGGTGTTGGGTACCTCGGTGTCTGTCTCTGTGATGTAACCATTTGGGAGTCTGGAGTCTACCGAAGGCCGAGACCTTCAATTGTGGTTAACTTGCGTCAGTTTCAGCTCTCAGCACAGTGGCAGCGACCCCCTTCCCACCTCCCAGCCGCATGGCGGGCACCTGTGTGTTCCTGGAATGACTTGTTCACAGTCTATGGGAGCCACGGTGGCCATAAGCGACCCTGTTCTCGAGACACTGAGGACCTGTGCTCCGACTAGTGATTGTGATCACACAGGTACAAAGAGAGGGTGATCATTGTTGTTGCACCTCCCCGCACTGTGCAAGCTCCTCCCCCTTCAGCCACAGAGACCTCCAAGGGGTTTAAAGAGCTTCTCCTCCCTTCAGTTTCCTTTTTCTCATGTGGCAGTCAGACACGAAGACTAGGACATTCAAAAACAACCGTGTACATGGGAAACATTAGAAAATGAGTGTTCAAATCCAGGGAAGGGCTCAGAAAACACCTGTGGCGACTGTATCTTTACACGTCAGGCTGATCCTTGGCACAAAGACAACAATTTAAAATAAACACAAGCAGGGCGCCTGGGTGCCTCAGTTGGTTAAGCGTCCGACTTCGGCTCGGGGCCCGATCTCACGGTTCGTGAGTTCGAGCCCTGCGTCGGGCTCTGTGCTGACAGCTCAGAGCCTGGAGCCTGCTTTGGGTT